AAAAAAAAAACAAATAGTTAAAAATTGAAAGTATTTTAATTCTAAAATAAATACTTGGTGGTGATATAAGATTAGGTTTGATTTGAACGTTAGATGGTAAACGAGTAGATACATCAATTGATGATGGTTGTGTATTATGCCCATTCATTATTGTTGTTGTTGTTGTTGAGTTAGAAGTTTTGTTCGATTGTGCCGGTGGTATAGGAGCAATTGGAGGAGCAGGAGGTTTCGAAAGTATTGGCTTTATTGGACTTGTTTTATTTATTGTTGGTTGAGGTAAAGATGGCATCATGGATTTTGCTGATGGTGGTAAAACATATGAAGAATGAATACTTGGTATAGATGGTACTGCAGTTTTTTTTCCTGGAACTGGACGAATATTATTCGATGGATTACAACTTGAACGAGCAAAATCTTGAACACGACGAATAAAATCAATTAATTCATCATATTCAATTAATTGATCATTTGCAGTTGTAATACGTATATGTAATGTATTATTAAGATGAAAATCAAGAACTTTTTGCATTAGTTCAGCTTCATATGAAGTTAATGTATAAGCACGAGGTGATGGTGATATATTTGAAAAATAAGGTGATAATTGTTTCCATCGTTCGGATTGTCCTAAAACTTGTTCAACATAACGTTTGACTACATATCGATCGAGACCATAAGTACCAGGACTAGAAAAACAAAACAAAAAAAAAGACAAATAAAAATAATTGTCTTGCTAGAATAGAGAAAAAATTTTTGTCATTAGACTATTAGAAATTCTTCAAAGGATATTTTTCTTATTTAACATTAATTCTTCAATACTTTATTTTCTTTTTCGTACATTCGAGGATGAGTAAAAGTTTTTTATCTATATTCTCTATCGTCGGTTATTTATTAATCACTTCTATAAAATATACAACTCAGATAAAATGAACTATATAACAAATTATTTGTAATTTAAAAAATGTACTATATACATTGCTTTCAGATAATATCAATGAAATTTTTAAATACTTCTTCAAGGTTTCATATCAACCTATGATTCTTTTTCTTTTTGTTTTTGATCTCTACATACCGGAAAAGAACAGCAAATGGTTGATTCTCCCATTGTTCCCATGCAAATTGTTTGAAACGGCTCGGTTCATCAGTTAGATCACTTGAACGATGCATTCACCTATTTTTTTTTTTGTCAAAAATAGACATAATTATATTTACAAGACAAAAAAATAATTGATAAACTCACTGTTTTCTTTTTTCTAAAAATTCTTATACTTATGTTTGAAAAATCACAGTAGACTTAGACAATTCATAGTAATTTCGATACTATCTTGTCCAATTGATCGTTTGTAGTATTTAGAAGTAAAAACATGCGTGTCACTAATCTAAAAAAAAATCAATTTTATATTTTGTTCTGTTCTCTACCTTTTTTTATGATTGCATTAAAATATAGGGGGAGTTGTAAAAGTTCAACATAAAAAAGTTTCATCAAACTTTACAGACAACCAATCTCCGTGACCGTTTGCAAAACATAACGAACAATTTTTTTTAGTCATCTGTATCATTGGTGAGAAATGACATTTCAAAAGTCATCTATGCATTCATTACAGATGTCGTTAGAAATCATTTGACGTTTGTTTTATAGGTCTGCACATGACAATGTTATCATTAGAACTACTGGATAACCGCGGCCCTTCAAAACCGCTGGCTAACCGCAGTTTATCTTTTTCTATCAACTGTCTATTAATTTTCTATTAAATTAGTATTATCTATCTTAAGAATGTCGATTTCTACTAAACAGGCCGATTTATAAATATATCATAAGAGGTTGTGCCAGATGGCGTTGCGCTTTTTTGTATTGATGAAGTCTTTTGACTAAAATGACTATTATTGTGGCGCTATCTTTATTTAGTAATTAATATTGAAAACTAAGACTAAACAACCGACGTAGTCGGTATCAGCAGCTTAAGCTCACTTATAAATATGCGCAGTCGTATTTTCGAGTCATATTTGAAAAATTTTTAAGAGTTGAAAATATGTGTATGCATTTTGTTGTTTATAGCCTTCTATATCTAGAAAAATCAAGACATTCCGCTACATGGAAGCAGGTGAACACGATTTTACTATGCATAAAAGAAGCATTTCACATAAAAGCCATCTATACTCTATAGCCACATTTATTTTAATCATACGACCCAAGAAAGCTTTGAACAGTCTTTAGAATTATTATTAACTATATATATTATGGTCCGCCTTTTTCCTTGATGTGGAAAGGAGAACAAAGGAAAGGTTATGGACTATATAAGAATAAATAACTATAAAGATCACTTACTTCACCCATCAATAAAAAAAAGGGAGGATTATAGGCTACATAAGTCATGAATAACTCTATACACTGAAATACAATGATATGACTATCAAACTTAGAGAAGGTTTCGTGCATGCCACGAAACCTAAAAAGAATTTTGTGCAGAATGCGAAACCTAACAAGGTTTCGAGAATTGGAACGAATTCAAAATCCTAATAAAGGTTGTGTGCATTTCTATGAAACATTTAAAAAAAGTTTTCTGAATCCTTGATAATTCTTTCAAAGGTTTCGAATTCGTTGCAACTTGCGAAACACTCTTTTTTTTCAATGTAGACAATCTATTTCCCCTTACATTGAAAAAGCTGGTGGTGTATGAAATCTAAAAAGAATTTCGAGATTTTCCAAAAATTTAAAACCCTTGTAAAGCTTTGCGTCACAAAAAAAGTTTCTCAGTGCAAGTTATAGACAAACTTCCATTTAATATCAATGAATCCACGAATATTCTCCCAATATCTACTTCTATTAATCTATCACTGTGTCTCAATCTCATATCTCTCTATCTATATTCTATATCTATATCTAACCCCTTATCTCTTTATCTTACCGCTCATTCCCATATTTGATCCCTCATATCTGTCTATATCTGATACTTACTCCTATATCTAATCTTTTATATCTATATCTAAATCTTAATATCTATATCTTATTCGTTATTTCAATGCATGATTTATAATTTCTATGCTTAATCCTGTATTTCTATAGCTAGTCCCTTATATGCATGCTTAAAATCTATTGCTTTCGTCTAACCACATATTCTTATTTCTAATCTCCTATAGGTATAGCCTGTTATTTATATGCGTAATCCCTTTGTATTATGGCTATCTCGTGCTTTATGTCTAATCTTCTGTATAGATGTTGATCGACCGATCTCTATACTTATCCGTTACATTTATGTTCCTATTGCTAAACTTCTACATATGTTGATGTATGTTGTTTTTTCCTTGCGTGCATTCGTTCCTACGTATGTTACCTTAAAAATAAGCAAATTTCGCATATTATGAACTAACATGAGCACGAAGAAAACTAACTCAGGTCAAAAAATACGATCCATTTAAGGTCGTTTCCAGTAAAAATACGAATATGTAAATGGACTGTATATCATCATAATATTTGATGCAGAAACACAGTCGTGCGGTAGTGAAAATACGGCGCATATACGACAGGAGACGGCGAAAATACGGTACCGTATTATTGTGTAGGAATTACGAGAAAATCGGTTAGTGTACTGCCGTAAGTTTGCCATTTTTTCACCTTTTACTCATGAAAACAGATCGTAAATGATATCCGTTTTGATCAATGTGAGAAGTTACACGAAAAGAAATATATCACGAATATAAATCAGTTTGCTGAACAATCTTTTTATCATTCGAAAAGGGTTAGTAATTTGATGTGTCGATGCGATCAAGCAACAGACATAGGAAAACCTATTACGAACCCATAACTACAGTGCTTCATAAAATACAAGCATAGAGTGCTGTTGAGCGAGCTAATGTTACGCTTATTTCGGTAAAATATAAAAATCTTTAAGGTGCAGTATAGAGATTTAGTTGCAGTATTATTGATGCGTTGTCTATGGCTTCCAGAAGTGACACCCTATGGAAAAGTGTGAAGTTTCGACACAGTCATGAAATATCCAAGCGTGATTGCAATTGCATTATAAATAGGTAAAAGTAAGAACGATTTATATCGAACGAATGTCTGATGCATGAACAGCTGTCTCTATTATAAATGAGGCGAGAAAAGAAACTAGTTTGGCGCGAAATCTTCTTACTACAAAACTCTTTATACTGCAGAACTTGGGAAGTTTTTATACGATATTCTAAAAGTATCGGAAAGTTCCACGAAACCTCATAGGATTCTTTTCGCACTTTGTTTTTCAGTGTAGTCTCTGTATCAGTAAGAAAAGGAAGATTATAAACTATATAGTAATGAATTCTAGTGAGATATAATTCTAAGGTTCTCTTAGTCTCCTATTTCAGTTTGAAATCGAGTGAAATTTTTTATTTTAAACTGGTATTGAAATCAAACAAACTACTATGTGACTTTTTTTTCCATAATCGAACAGTAGTAAGAGAACATTGAAAACCAGCAGTATACATCTGAGTATTCCGATCGATATTCTGACAGACTACCACCGATTTTTATGTTACTCACACCACATGATTGACTGTTCAATCTAATAATCATGTCTGTGGGAGTAATATATACTGAAAAATATGTTAAGCAATTACCATTTCAATAAGAAATACACCTTGATAATAAAATCTTTCATGATTGTTATGCTTTTAGAGTGAAATAAAAACCCATCATGTTTGCATTGCTCGATATAAGGTTTATTATACTATCTCTTATTTTTATTCGTCGTTTTCCTCTCTACATACACGTTTACATGATAGTCATACTACAGAATAGAAGAGATATGTATATATGAGTGAATCGTATTTTTGTTGTACAATTAGCAAAAAAAAA